TCCATAACTCAGTAGTGTACGCTGTGGTGTTTACCATTTGTTTTATAACATAACATTGATACATTGTAGCTAAAGAGTTCCCTTTTATTTAACAAATCTTACGTGACCAGAAAAAACAAGCGCGCGCGGAAAAATAGTCTTTGCATTTGCTCACGTCAGCAGCGTACACCCATGGGCAAATGGGGGACGCTAAATTGACCAATCAGAGCGCGCGCTTTACTTTGGTTGTTATAAAAATTAATCAGTGCTACGTTATTTTGAATACGCTCCTATCGTTGCTGAAACGTTTAAATCACAAGTTGTTGTTAGTTTTCAAGCATTTATTTTCATTGCACATGGACACCCCATGGTGAGTAAAAACGGCAATAGCTGCGCGTATCCCCCCTACGCCATTAAACCACATGATGCAGCAGGCGCGTGAGCCCTGGAAACGAGGTTGAGGTTGTCAGGATCAGAACCTTATATTTTATTTTTAAAGATAACTATCATGGTTATTTTATCGCGTAAATTACTTCACTGTTATATAGTTACACTGTCTAGTTTCCAACTATTGTGTCTAGTGCGTAGCAACTAGACACTGCAAGAGCGGTAGGAGATTGCGCAGGTGCTTCATAGAAGGAAAAAAATCACAAAGTGTGTTATTGTTACTGTGAAGTTTACCGTTAATGACAGGCTACGTTGGGTAAGCGATCATCGTGCAACACAAATATGACAAGAATGCATAAACAAGGGACGTAATGTCACCACGTCGATATTTTGTGGTGAAATAAGTTGTGTGAAGAGGGGAGTCTGGTTACATTTTGGGCCCAAATTTGTATATTGCAGAGATTATAAAACTCCAGCTATTTAATGTATCTCCATAATATTTAACAATTATTCACTGAAGGCGAGGTGAATATCGTTGAACAATCCCCGAGACGAAGTCGAGGGGATTATTTGACAATATTCGACAATATTCACTGAACCTGAGGCGAATAATTGTTTTAGTATAATTTCAGAGCTGAACAACAGAGAAATTTCTAAAATCATAACATTTTAGTTACATTTATCAACAGTTTATTTTAACATTTTTATAAACCACGTGGAGCGGTTTATATAGCGTCATATAAGGAACCACTCGACCAATCAGATTGCTGGAACTCTGCTCAGCTCTGAAATTATACTAATGACTAATATAGACTAACCCACAACCTAACGTGGCATGTGGTTCACAGACCATAATATGCAGATTTATGGTTAAATATTAACCAAATGCTTAGTGGAGGCTAATTTTCATTAATTTCATGCCCCCCCCTACTTTTTTTTCTGTTCTATTTATACATTAAGCGTAATAGTTCTAACAATAACACCACAAACTCTCCTACAAACCTATTGAATGATTTCGGTTTTCACCAAATTTTGATGCCATAGCAATAGCATACTCTTGTAACAGGTTTAATCTGGAATAACATCAACAGAATTGATCAAAAAGGAAAACAGCTCCATAGGTTGGTAGAGCAGCCATTGGTATGTAAATTAGCCAAATTTGGTAGAAAATGGATAAAAGCAAATGGAAAAAGTCTAGGTTGGCATAAAAAACTCTGTAAAAATGCCTTTTGGAGAAAAATCTAGTTTAAAATTTTGAAAGCAAAATCAGTTGAGAAACATCACTAAACAAAACAATCATTAATAAATTTAATAAGCAGCCCTATTAAAGTATCCTGAGATAATTTTCCAGTTATAACTCACAATTTCTAATTTTTTTTCTCTTTTTTGGTGGTACTGTAGTAACAGTCAGTTCATTGAAAGCACCAGCACTGTACGTTGTGCCCTCTTTTTGTCTCCGCTGCTCCTGGTCGCTTTGTTTTGCTTGCCTTTGAGCAACTCTGTGTTTCTTATGTTGATCCTCGATCCTTTTTTCAGCCTTTTTAATTTGTTCAGAGTCTTTTCTGGTGCTCTCTTTCCTGGTGTGGCCCCCAACAGTGAGCCCAGCCTTTGCCATCACCTCACGCTTTCCTGTTGCTCCTGCACCAAAGTGAAGGGTAGCTGATACTACACAGTTCTGGAGCCACCAAAACTACCCAGACAGCTATGGTTTTCAGCCCAATGTTCAAAGTCATGTTCATTTAATAATGATGATTTCTTTTGTACGCAAGTGTTGCATACCTTTGAAATGACTTCATAATTCAAAACCTTTCCAGTAGCAGCTGAGATGACAAAACCGATTCCATGGTTGGCAGTGTATCCTCTCCTGGACCATGTGCCACCAAAACTCATTGGGATGTTTATCTCAGTGTCCTCATCCCCTGCATTGATCCCTTCTTCGGTCATTGCCAGCTTCCTTGCTTCACTCCTGTTTTTCTCCAATACAACCTGGACAACTTCACTATGAGCTTGAAGCAAGGCATCCTCATGACTGTGCCAGGTATCTTTGCTCAAGGAAAAAGGCATGTTCAATATTTCACAAAACTTGGAAACATCTTCTCTGCCAATTGCCATTTGGCAGCATAAACCACTCTGCGATTCAAATCTTTTCCCTGCACAGTTCTGGGGGCATTGTCTGCGAGATTATGATCACCGGTGGCCAGAAATTCCGACAGACCACAATCAACACAAATAGCATATAGGCTGCTACTGAGGCCAAATCGGCTTGTGCTTATTTCTCGAAGTTCTAGATGGTCTACAACATCAAAAATAAAGAAATAGCTTAGTGATAACGACACTAGATGAGAAAAGCAATAAAGAACCGCATTTTATGATGAATACAACGTAAATTGCGAAAGCAAAAATAATTATCTCACCAGAATAACATGGCGAATTGGAATGAATCCTCGCAAATTCCATAAGACGTTTCATGGACACAAGCCGGTATCTTTCTAGTATTTCACCTTTCGAATCCATACTTTCATCCGAAGAGCTTTCCGTGCATTCGCCAGCAAGTATACTAAATGACGCCGGAACAGTGGCCTGCGTTCAGACGCTAGAAATTCTCCGAACACCAGCGTCTGTGGTTCACCGGACAATTTCCTTTTCTCTGTGACCAAATATCGAAAGCGATTTTTTATTGGTTCTTGAAAAAAACCGTTTCTTACGCGAACTCTGATTGGACAATTACTCGGTGTAAATGAATCTTGGAAGGGACTACAGGAACAATAGCCTGAGAAAAGCAGCCGTCCTTTCGCTCCTGCTATAGGAACAAACGAATCATCGGACTTGAAAAAGACCCTCCAAAGGCCTTAAAAGTGCGTTTATTTGAAACGGTTGTCATGGAAACGAATCAACAAAGTTGAACACGTCATAAAGATTGAACTTTTTTACCATTTTCTGGGTAAATTCTGACATTAGAAGCGTTAATATTTTAAAATTGTATAATTTTCCTGTCTAATACCGAGCAGACAAAAAATTTGACTGAGTTCACAATTTAACTCAAACCAGACTCCCCCCTTAAGCCGGAAAAGTTGTTTGGTGAGCGTCACTCCAGGAACAAACAGAGGGGTATTCCAGACCAATTGGATTCGAAACGTCACGAAGAAGCTTAACGTCGGAGAAAATCATGTGTTTTGTAGACTGTCGTGTCTTAAAGAGGGCCTTTGGAGGCGAAGCAAGGTTGTTTTGGCGAGTAAACCAGTTTTTTCTAAGGCATTGATACAGAATAAACTTCGGTTTCATACGCGCACACATTTCACCCTTAAAATTGACCTTTTGCACTTGTTCATCGTCACTAATTGACACGCAGTCAGCGCTCCACAACCAGTGCAGTGTATGTGCTGATAAATTTTACGACTTAATTTCCTTTTCAGGGCGCCTGTTTTCGTGACAAAATTGTATTTGCTATTGCTTAATATGCACATGCAAAATTCTGTTCTTCGGTAAGCACAGTTTGTTAGTTTTGTCTCTGATAAGTTGAGAAACTCTTCTGTGAATTAATTTCCTTGGAAAAATCGAAACTTATTGTCCAGTTGTTGAATAGACCATCAAACAACTTCCTTGAAAACTGCAGCTGTAAGCATGTAATTATCTTACAGTATATTCATCTCAGTTTGGACTAGATACGTGTAGGAGGTGCGGACCTATTTTTTTTCGGGATGCGGAAGACTGCGGAAGTCAGCGTTACATAGCTTTCACAGCAACTAATCCCAAAACCGTCTCAGACCAATTACAGTCAGCAGCAACAGGCAGGCACGAAAAAGGTTTTGTGATAACAGCATTAACTGGTCCATTGATTTCACACCAACTGGTCATTCATTAACAACAGCTTTAATACGTGTATAGGGCCCGTTATAGCAGGTCGAGTAAAATGCAATGCCAGAGGAGTGGTACATGGTACTGGGGAAATTTGTGCCAGCATGTCCCTGCACACCTGAATTGATAAGTGGATTTATATTTTCATATGCGAATGTTTTTTTAAGCAAAATTTTTCCATAATTCATTGCATGACCTCCAGGTGTTGGCATGTTTTCTATAAAAAATGACGTTCTTTTCAATTCTCAAAGGACATCATTCCATTTGATTGACATCAAGAGAAAAATACCTCAGACTCCGTAAACAATGTCTTCCTAAGAACGTTTATCCCTTGACGTTCTACTGTCGTAAAATAAGCCGAGCGAAACGTAATTAAAAATAGCGGTACATTTAGTTAATGAATCATGTGGTGATTCATTTTTTTCTTGAACAATGCATCTTAGTAGATAGTGGCCTCTGAATTTCTCTTTGCGTTTGAAGGGTCCAATTTACCGGTGAGTTGCAAGAAAAATTCTTTAGACGACTGGAGCTTTAGTATTTCTGTAGAGTGTAGTTTGTGAGCGATTGATAATAGATTCCGTTGTATTTATTTCTAAGTTGGTCTTGTTTGTGAAGACAGCAGTCATTTGCATTCGGTAATTATAAATGATGAGTAGAACTGACTTAAAATTATAGGAGATAGCCAATACTCTACTTTCATGCCGAACTGATCATCCTTGTGTTCGGTCCGTTTAAGTTCTGATGTCAAAAATAAATTTACAGCGGATAGTATGAGGCGTTTGGAGGAACCGTTGCCAAGTTTAAGTTTGTTATCAGGTATGTCTGTAAGAAGGCAAGGGCTTTTTCTCATTTCTTTCTTTATCTATTTTCTTATCTAAAAAAATGCTTAACGTTTTATCAGAAGAACACGCGTACAGCGTAGTGATTTGAACTGATGCAATGCAAATGTCATACGTTGTCTTGCCACAAATCATTCATCTCCGTCCAAGAAACTTAAAAAGAAAAATTATACCAGTGGGGATACTTTCAAACTGCTCATCTCGCATACTCACCTGGCAAATTTATTTGAATCATTTTCAAACACCAGAGAAAAAACTAAGGCACGGGTTGCTAAGGTGTAGGGTTTAGTTTATAGACAGTGTCTGTGAGCAGAGAGGTCTGCCGCGTTTAAAGAAATAATTTTAGAAAAACGTTTTGGCAATTAAATTTCCCACAATTCAGTTCTCGAACTATTTCATCAGAACATAAACTTCGCTTTAAGAAATTGATTGGAATTAAAGCAGTTTTAACAACAAGACGAGAACAGATGGGAGACATATTAAAAGTAAACTTTTATGATATATTTTACATATGTACATGGAGGTCACGCAAATGAACCATTTGGAACACGGATCCATGGAATTACAAACTTTTAGAGTGACAAATGCTTCCACAGCTTGAATGATATATTCAAGTTTTCTCAGTTAAAACCAAATACATTAAAATCTTATACTTACACTGACCATGGTTAGGAATAAGGAATAAGATATGATTACAATTTGATATACCGATTCGTTTTTGAAATCATGAACAAATGACTAGCAATGGATTGCAACTGATAAGCAAAGTATGTGATAGTTAAGCTACAAATACCACAATCTCAACATTCAAAAACAAAAGCAAAACAGCTTGCTGTGTCCTTTTCAAGTAGCACTCATTACTATCGTTCTTTAGGGAAATTAATCAACTTTGCTTGGGTAGTTGTTTATTGTAAACAATGACTTGATGATTATTTAAGAAATTCTGTTCTATTTCAAAAGTGGAATATGGAAGTCGTAACAGAACCAAGCTTAGTAAAGTCTAATGAAATCTCTCTGGGTCGGGTGTAGACGATCATCATAGCCGCGATAACAAGGCGACACTGTTATCTTCCTTCAGACAGAACTTCTCATTCCACTCAACAGCTCAACATTAATAAACTGTAGGACGTGGCGGTCTGCCATATACTTAGATGGCGTCCAGTACAAGAGGAATTACTTCTTTATTAAAAGTTGATCTTTGGGTGACGTAAAATTTTCCACAAGGCCTTACAACTAAAATATGTTTGTTTACCATTCGAAATAAGTTCCTGTAGTGCTCTTAAAGTCTAAATATCTAAGGTGGACCAGCTGAAAAGGTATCTCAAGCTGTATCAGAAAGAGGATATTGAACTTATTAACTCAGTTCAAACCGACTAGTTACCAACAAAATTAAAAAGTTGCTATGTTAACTCATTCGCTTGTATTATCCGTGGAAATCACAGCAGCGAGGGTGGATCCCTTCGCGAAAATGATATTTGATAGTCCTCAGTTATGTTATACGGATCGATTTCAGGGGAAATTCATTCAAAATATCAACTACTAAACTCAAGTACTTTCAAAGAGTGCTATCTTTAAACAGTGATTGCTATGGTAAGTTGGTGGACACCATATCTGCCAAATTTAATTCAAAAATTATTCATCACTAGTAAAAAGTATCAACCACGAGACAAGGTAACCTCTGGATTTCCAGAAAAGAAGCAATCTCTGTTTTACAGATATGCAATAAATTACCGATTCATTATCCAAGACAAGACGTCTTGAATTTCTTTCGTCGAGCAATTAATTTTTTATCATTTAGTTTAACAAAAATGTAAATCATCGAAGTGATGAGTTTTTAAAGTGATCGGATCAAATGATAACAACTTGAAGCTCCAATATCATTTAAGGATTCTAAAAGAGGTTGTTTTTGTTTTTAGAACCAAGGAGAAAGCGTCCGGAACAAAGGATTCTGAAAAATTAACGTGCTAATATTGAGCTTGTATTATGATTATTACTTGGTAGGGATATGAATCAAGTGTAATAGTGACAATTTAAATTGCAATGTTAAAAACTCAGTAAGGACATAATGATAAGTAGTGGTTATAAAAGTTCAAACACTGAAAAAGCCGACTGACATCAATTCCCAAACCATCCGAAGTCTAAACTTTTAACTGATACAATTTAGCGAGAGAACCCATTGTCTGCAGCGTGAAATGGCTGAGGCTTTTATTAAAAAGCTTTCGCGTGCTCTTAATATCCAGTTTTACATGTAACTTGGAACATCCAAGAAAATCTTCGTTCAAATTTCAACGAATTTCTGTCCGTTAAACTTGAGAAAGTGGGATGAAATGCTTGATAAGCAATATTAATTTATATTACATCAAGTAAATCTCATTTAGCCTAGTGTCTGTGGATCGATGATAATATATCAAATAGATCCTCACTAACTGACAAACGTGAACTAAAAAGCTAAAAAAGGAAATTTATGATTCGATTGGGATGGATCTTAGGCCTTCCACTGAGTTTTGTTGCCTTGAAATGTCTGATAGATGCTGCAAGAAATTTTGATGTCAATGTTACCGAAGACAGCTTTACAGTCTTGGCGCAGAAAAAAATTGGAGACACTCGGCAATCTAAGCATACATGTCTGAGACTATTTTAAAATTCTGAAATGAGAGGTTATATAAAATCTTAGGCTTCATTTAAAAATTTTACAGAAAGCTGTGCCGTTTATTTATTTTAATTTCTGTTCACAATTACAAAAAGTTATGAAAACATGCTTATAATATGCCTCTTATTTCAGCATGACACCAGTGACCTTTAGAGGGACCTCTTCTGATTTTCAAAGCAGAGCTGTTCTAACGTGTCTGAATAACCTTCCAAACCATGAACGACATTAATGTGTTCATCATCTTTTTGTTGGATGCCGTGTTCCATTTCATAGGGCCGGCTCAATGTTTTTACATCGGGGCTGGTAAGTTCGGTTTTTTGTTATTCTTTCAGTTGTGTAAAATTTGTCAGTCGGTGCCGAATGTTGCTTCAATCAGTCAAGGGACTTTGCTGAAAAAATAAATCTAACTACACCGACAATCCTATTATAAAGATAACACTTATTAGAAACACAGCTCATTTTCAAGCATTGGCATGATTATCAAAATGTTGTGTTAAGTTCCAAGCACGCCCTCAGTTTGAGAATCGATGAGTCACGATCGATCTTGCGCACCATTACGGCAGAGTCTGGATGATTATTTATCAAATTCCCAACTGTTCATTCAATATTGACGGTGAACCAGTGCCTCATGGTCTGCTTATCTTAAAATGAGTCATGTGTTTCGCTGAATCCTTAAATTGTTGAAATGTTAATCAATATCGTAGTTATGTCTTGAAGTGGGTATAAATCGGTTCATTCAAAGCGATCATGGGTCATTCGCTGATAATACACCATCATGGGTCTTAAACTGATGACAGTCATCTCCGAAAATTCTTTGGGTTGGGAAGGTTTGCTAAAGGAGCCGAGGAACCGTATAATCATGACTGAATGTGACTGAAAACGTATAAAGCGGTTAATAATCTTGATGGTGATGGCTTGAAAGAATTAGCTGTCGAACAGCCTGTGTTCAGTCGTAATAGGGAGAGAATGTCGCTTGATAAGAACGTTATTGAAGATTCTGAAACGTACAGTACTCAGTCTAATCAACTATAACTCACAAGTAGGTTCGAATTTTATATCCGGGTACGGTTTAGAGACCATACTGCTGGGAGTTTTCGCAGCTGGCTTAAACTGATGGCATTATATAACAAGCGAGAGAGAACCAATATGTTGAGTTCTATTGATAAATTTAAATGTCGTCCTCATGATGTTATTCTGAGTTTATTTATGGCGTCGTTAGGTTTTCCTCCGGCACCAAGGCAAACAGATAATCTTGTATCAATATTTTTGTTTGAATTGATGTGGGAGGTTGAGAAAGAAAAAACAATCTATCGACCTTGGATCGGCCCGGTAAAGTATAATAAGGACTCGCTTAAACGCTTAAGCGGTGTTACGGAATTAGCCATTTCAAGCTGGATTTAAGGATAAACTTTGTAGGAAGTCAACAAATTGGTTCCAGAATATTAGCCGAATTCTGCTCCGAATATTCTGAGCCGATTTCCGTAAGATCCGTTTGTTTTTCATTGAGTCACAAGCAGGCCATACACAGGTGACGTCAGCTAGAGAGACATGTTTGATGATAGCTTTGTCATAATAATCATCCATAGATATCACACAGAAGTATACAAATGCTTAGGCCTGGGGTTTTATTAGATCATGACCCCTCTGAGTTTTGATTTTTTTTCTCAAAGCGGCTTTAAATCGAATTCGAAAGGAGTGGGTGTTTTAAATAATGTCTCTTACACATGCGGCCGAGCACACGGCTTAAACGGCACCTAAACCCAAAAATTTTTTTTCGCTTAACGAAATAAGCTTATTTTTTGGAGTATTTCTGTGCAAAAATTTTTTATTCGCTCAAATCTTTAATTTTCTGTGCCCAGTCAAAATACGGAAAATCAACCGCCATCTTGCCCCACGACCGAGTTTAAAGAGGAATGGCTCTAGCGGGTAATGGGACGTCAAATCGAGAACACGAAAGTCTGCATTTCACACATTTTCACTTGTTTGGGAAGGTTGTAGTCGATATTGTTCGAAAATATGCCGACTAAGTGTATTGTAGAAGGATGTAGCAAGCGCGATACCCTCTTGCAAATTTCGCACGTTGCTACATCCTTCTACAACACACTTAGTCGGCATATTTTCGGACAATTATCGACTACAACCTTCCCAAACAAGTGAAAATGTGTGAAATGCAGACTTTCGTGTTCTCGATTTGACGTCACATTACCCACTAGAGCCATTCCTCTTTAAACTCGGTCGTGGGGCAAGATTGCGGCCGATTTTCCGTATTTTGACTGGGCGCAGAAAATTGAAGATTTGAGCAAATAAAAACTTTTTTTCACAGAAATACTCCAAAAAATACGCTTATTTCGTTGAGCGAAAAAAAATTTTTGGGTTTAGGTGCACTTTAACGTACACAAAGAGTAATTATTGGAGGTCATTCATCAGAATGGATGGAGGTGACCTCAGGTGTTCCTTAAGGAAGTATATTGGGGCCGCTTCTTTTCCTGCTGTATATAAATGACTTCCCCCTCAGTGTAAGCTGCAACATGAAACTTTTTGCTGATGATAGTGTACTCCATCGTGAGATAACAACCGAGTCTGCCGACTCCTCGTGTAACTTGTGGAAGGTCACACTGAAGTCCGTGAAGTGTAAATCCCTACATGTCACTAAGTCTAAATGTCCGTTAGTTTATCAGTACGTGATAAATGACAATAATATGTCGATAGTTAATAAACATAACCACTTGGGCATTTGGATTGAATCTTCATTGAGGTGGGACTCCCATATCAACTACATCGTGGGCAAGGCAAATCGAGTGTTAGGTTTAATAAGGAGAACATTTGCGTACAAAGATCCTGTGGCAGTAAAAACAGCCTTTAATGTTCTAGTTCGTCCTATTCTTGAATATGCCTGCCCAGTGTGGAACCCACATTTAGTTAAGCACATTCACAGCATTGAATCCCTCCAGCGTCGTGCTACTCGATTGATTTGTGGATCAGCCAAATCTTACTCTGAAAGGCTAACTGAACTTAACTGGTCAACTTTGGAGCTCAGAAGAAAACATATTTGCTTGGTTCAGCTTTACAAGCTAATTCATGGCTATTGTCATGTGGACTACACTAGATATATTGATCTGACTGGCCCGACCAGAACTAGAAGGAACCATGATTTTAAAATCAGGCCTAGAGCAACAAGGACAAACTATTTTAAATTCTCATTTTATAACCGTTACGTTAATGACTGGAACTCGTTACTATTTCTGTTATATCGGCTCCCAGTTTAAATGTCTTTAAAAATCAACTATAGAATTATCTTCGTACTTAGTTGTTTTGTATTATTTACTATAAATTACTGTATTGAAATTTTATTGTATTATTTATGATAATTTACTATATCATGTTTAGATTTTGTCAAGACATAGTAGTTCCTCCGTTTTCTATTTTATCTAGATGTGTGGTTATGCATTAGACATTTTTTTTTATTTTATTATCTTCTAGCTTGGAGAGCAGTTTTTACATGGAAATTCAGTTTCCCCCTATTGCTTTCCTTTACATTCTGTACCTAGTTATTGTTTAATATTATTGTACAGTGGTAAAAAGCATTATTAAATTTAAACTTAAACTTAAACGTGCATTGAATCTCGCGATGTAACGAACCCTGCGATACATTTTGGTTGTCTTTCGGTTTTTGGCTTAAATAAATATCAACTAACGTCGTAGATCGCGTGTAACTTTAATTGGTTTCTTTAAACAAACAATGACAGATCTTGTCACGTCACCATTCTAAGCTGTGCCTGCTCTGATGTTATTCATCTTTTATCAAGGGAATTTGACATCATTTCTTAGCTTTTTCCGTTCGTATTGCGACTTTTCTCGAAGCAACAGCAGTTCAATAGATCTAACCACTACCATAGAGAATGTGAAATGTTATATCTCGGTAAGAGTTATGAGATGAAATGGACTATGAAAACAATTACTGGGTTTGTTACGGATACTATAAATCATGCCTAACTGTAACGGGTAAAATTTCATCATTTTCGTACTCAGGCTGCTACACTTCTCGATGTATCAAGGTTCCCAAACCCGGTCTAAAGCCTATTTTATACGACATCACTGATCGCCTTGATTCATTTGCAATATTATTGCATTAGAATCATTAAAATTCAGAATTCATTAGCTTGGTACTCTGAAGATGAAGGAATGGCGCACAGAACCTGAATAATAAGTTTGAGGGGATCGAGTCGCATGTCTGTGTTTGAATACAAACTGATCGTGAGAGCAGCAGCTTTCCTACCAGAATCGAGCTTTGATTGGTTAAAAAATGAAGATAACAAAAAGTTTCATATGAATCTGTCAATAAGAAACTTGGTTGGCAACGTTTCAATGTGTTTTCATTGTTGACATTGTTAGTCGGTACTTTTGGTTGGTTTATTTGTTATTTTCGTCTTCGTGATGGTTGAACAATTGCCTTTTTTATCTGCTCCTGCTCATTTCAGTTTGTTTATTCTTTTTAACCAATCACAGATCAGCTATTGATTAACTAGAATTAAAAGTCATGAGCGCTGCATTTGACTAGATTACTCTCCCTAAAAGTGGTCAAGAATGCGTCAATTATCGATTTAAAAAAAAACTGCCTTCGACATTTTCTTGAAATAAAGTGAGTTTAATTATACAATAAGAAGCAATTTAAGCCAAAAACGTATCAAAGAAGTTTAACCGACAAATCAGCCTTCCTTTCTTTCCAACCTTGAGTAGGAACTAAACTGAGAACCCGAGCTAAGGTTCTCTTTGAACGTACCACAGTCCGAGCCCTTAACTCGCCGTTTCCAGTGTGATAAGGAATTCAACTGATTGCTGTAAAGTAAACAAGTTTTGTATCAACTGCAAACAGACTTGCACCCCAATTACGACGACTGAGCCATTAGTGAGAATGGCCGCCAGATTTAGCAAGGGTAATTGTCTAGTACTTTCCTTTTCACTGATCGCCTTCTTAAAGATCTTTGAGGTTTCATCAAAAGGTTGGTGTAACTATTCAGTCGACTTTTGATTTAGAGATCAATCAATCATTTGATTAGTGAAGCTGTTTGTGCTATTCTCAGTTTCGCACCTTTGATCTTTTCCAACTGAAAGACTAGAGCTGCTAGCGCTCTTTGTTTTACGTCACATTGGCTGGGTGGCTTCTTCAGTGTCATTTTGGTTTTTAACTGAATATAATAGTGTGGTTAAGGTTCTTAGACAAACTAACGCACATGATTTTCATTGATGGATTTCAATTAATTTTTTGTGTACACGTATGGAAAACGTTTCATGTCGTGTTCGCCGAAGCAAAAAAACTTTCTTGTTTATGTATATCTTAGAATATGTTCAATATCAGTAAACCGGTTTAAGTTTTCTGTCCAATTTTTTTTTGCCAAAAATTACTCATTAATTTGACAAAATTTATAGAACTTTTAGGATGAATTCATAAGATATTTTTTTTTTATTCCTATAGACTTGTAAACAGACATAGTCAATTTACATACGAAAGAAGTCGATTAAAAGATGATTTTGTCGACCGTAGTGACCAGTATAAGCTCCAAAAAGTTCACATTGTTTCTCTATAGGGTTGCATTGAATCTTCCTGACCCTCAGGAATTACCCGTGAGCCTGATCCTCCTTAATTCTTCAGCACAACCAGCTGACTCCTCGCCCGATGGACACTACGGAAAATATGTAGTGTACCTTTATTGAATCGAAAAGTGTTTACTTAGACTCAAAATGACGACTGAAACTAGGTAACATAATGTTGACGTCTGACAAAATCTTTTGTGCCTTTAGATTGCCACAAGCCACTTGGACTAGCCGATGGACGAATAAATGACTCTCAGTTAACTGCCAGCTCAGTCTTTGGAGACAACTACACTCTGTACGGACCTGGGCGAGGTAGACTGAACCGGACTGGAGGATATCGAGCTCAACCAGGAGCAAATGTTTCATCATTTACAGTGACATTTGATCAACCTATGATTATAACTGAGGTAGCCACTCAAGGTTACTTTGGAAACAACATACAAGAATGGACTAAAGGATATCATTTAGGATATTCAATTGGAGACGGCACACATTTCTTCAAGGAGAAAAACGAAGACCGCGCAAAGGTAAATGAAAAAATTCTTTTGATTAAGGAAATAATTGAAACAGATTTAGTGGGCGACTAAAAAGTAGTCATACATGGTGGGTTTATCTCATCTATCATAACGAAGAAAATGCCACGAAATGATATTGAAGAGGGCTTGTTGCTTTTTTGCATTTATGCAAGTTGATGCAGCGTATAAATCTTTATATTAGTTCATTGCCATAGGACCGACAGGTTGAAATGTAAAAGTTATCCAACACGTGACCCCCACAGGTAAGTCAACCATGACAATGGCTTCACTCATTTGATATACATCTACATAACATAAATATAACGAACATGTCTTCATTATTCTATCGGTTTTTTTTGTCAGCAATTTAAAGGTAACGTGGATGATAACAGTATCACACTTCATATGGTACCAAGGCCGGCGATGTTAAAATCAGTTCACATCATACCAACTGAATGGGAAAATAACTTTGCTCTGAGACTGGAATTATATGGATGTATCGCAGGTTGGCTCACGCAATCAGTTATGTTTTAAAGCTTATCGTATAAACTCACATAACTAACGACCACATGAAAATTTTTATTTAAGAGAGAATTAGTCCGTTTGCAAAATATGAAGTAAAATTTGTGGACTCTGGGTCCTTTGTATTTATCTAAAATGATAGAGAACGGAATATTTTTCAATTTTCGGCAGAAATTGGGAGAGGTACCACTGAGTAAAATGTCTTGAACAATAAAAGTCCTGAAAACTTTACTGAAGCAAAAATTCTTTAACGAAAGAAAGAATATAGTGATGAAAGAGGTCTTTAAGGTTATTAGTAGGTTTAATTGAACGGTCCTTAGCGCGTACGAATTGCTTTTCGTCCAGAAGTTGTGTTCTGGCAGGTTTGGGAGAAACTCGCAGAAAAGTAAAACTGTACTATTTTTACAATGCATAGTTGGTCTCTTTCTTTCACTACAGTGCGCTGCAGTATTTTTAAAAAATTAAACCTTCTCATCCATTTCAGATGGAAACGAATGCGAGAGCCTTCCATGTCAGAATAACGGCACTTGCTTGGAGAAAATCCGTGGATTTAAGTGCAACTGCTCTGACGGCTTCAATGGCCCCCATTGTGAAATCAGTAAGTGTCTTTATACAGTCCATTTGATTTATTTGTTTTGTCTAAAATGCGTCATCACAATCTAACATGAGCTTTCAGATATCTCCTTTCAGATATTTCCCCTTTCCCCGCCTAGGATGCCAAATAAAATGGTCGATACCTATTTTCATTTCAATGTCAGTACTAATGGCGTTACCTTTCTGGTTTTGTTTTGAAGACATTGATGACTGTGCCAGCAATCCCTGTCAGAATAATGGTAGTTGTTTAGATCTGGTAAATGATTACCAATGCGTTGGTTGTTTGTCTGGATACTCTGGACAGAAATGTGACATAGGTCGGTAATCATG